TAACCATTCGATGTTTGATACTGTTGGCTAGCCATGCCCTCCCAGTTTCTCCATATATCATACAATCTGGTGTAAATTTATTTACACATAACGCTGACCTGAGAAATTTTCTATGGAATATTTCAATTTGACTCAGATCTTCATATCCCCACACTTCGCATCCATAAATGAGTATTGGTAATACAAGTTGGTCAAACAATTCACATTGAATATCCAGTGGCAGTTTGAGTCTTTGAACCTTTAATGACATAGAGAAGAGGGCTTTCCTGGCCTGTGATACCTGTTTTGAAATAGCCTTTTTAAAACTTCCATTATAATTAACCTGAACCCCAAGATATACAAAATCATCCACAACATCAATTTCATCTTCTCCAAATCTGAACTGGTGCATACCATTGTCTGTCATAACACAGGGTCTGAATAATTGAACTATACATTGCATGTATAAGGCCATGTGACACAGCAAGTCGGAAGCTGGACAAATTACTAGGCTTTACTCAACACTATAAGACAGTATATTTTGTCAAAGTGTCAAATTAGAACAAGCACAGACTCTAATTTGAAACTTTGATAACAATGAGGGAAGACTAGTCCAGCTACTCGTCACTGAATTTGGGGGCATGGTTTGATGCTGCTGGCACTCGGTTTAATGGTGAAGATAATGTTTGAGACTTATAGCCTTAGATGGTTTCATTAATGAGATATATATCGAATCATATCATATCGAGCAACTTACCAGTATTAAAATACATGAAACGCCTATTATTTTACTAAAATATTGTGGCTGTCAACTATTTAAAGGGGAAGTCCACCCTGAAATTAAGTTAGTTTTAATAGGAGTAGAAAAATGAGAGAAACAAGTCAGTGTAAGTTTGAGCAAATTCCGATTAAAAATAAGGAAGTTAGGATTTTTGAAGTTGTGATCAATCAAACACAAATTGGCAACTCTATGACGTATCATGCGAGCTCAACTTTCATTTGCTCAGTACTAAAAAAATCTAAAATTTTCATTTTCCCTCAAGAAAAATTTCAACCATACATGCACCCTAAATATAATAATTGCAAATATGTTTCTATACTCTCCCTGCAAGGAACAAATATATATTCCGTCATCAATAACGAAGAAAACATGATTTTATGGAATATTATGCACAAAGCAAATGAAGGAGAGCTCGTATGATAAGTCACAGAGTTGCCAATTTGTATTTGATTGATTACAACTTCAATAATTCATAACTTTCTTATTTTCATTCAGAATTTGCTCAAACTTTCACTCACCTGATTTTCTTATTATTCTGCCTCTATCGAAACAAACTTATTTTGGGGGTAGACTTTCCCTTTAAGCAACATGCAAGTAATATTTTGTAGGTGGGTTTAGGTAGGCCTAGGTAGATAGGAACTGCATTGAACTGCTGGGTGCACATGTTTTCTTTTCTTAAGTTTCCTTTGTTCTACAAATCATCTTTTTGAAAGTTCCTTAGTATGAAGCCACGAAAGAGTAAACTATTATGAAAAAAAAATACCTATTTGTTATTACAAATCTAGCTAGATTGGGGAGTTTAGTTGCTTTCAATTCTCTGTTCGTACCCACACGGAGTAATTCGTCCTTTATAGCAATTCTCTTCATTCCGGAGCAACGTACATGTACTAATACCACAAACGTACTCGTGTACTAGTACATGTGTATATGACACACTACGCACGCCGCACGTCTGTGACGTAGGGACTAATGAATATTCATGACTCCACTAAAGCTCGTGCCAATATATGCTACCGTGTCAAAATGGACCTACCATGGTCAAAATAAATATACAATACATGGTCTATTGTAGTCTCATGATTCAGAATCTGTATTATGCACTATGGGACCAGGGGCGTCGCTAGACTTTTTTCAGTGGGGGGGGGGGGGGGGGGGGGTGTAGAGGCTTACGATTACCGACAAAACTAGCCACCAATTACCGACAAAATTAAATGTCCAATATCGAAAAATTCAACCCTATAAACCTTGGGCCGAAGGCTAAATTGTTTTTCCTATGGACTATCTCTTGTACTTGCATATGCGCAAAATGGTCATTTTCCTCGACGACATAAATATACGAATTATTTCTTCAATTTAGTCAGCATCATAGCTATATATTTTAATGCAGGCGCGGAGCTAGGATCTTATTTTAGGGAGGGCGGTAGTTAGCAAGAGAATCACTTAAAAGCGCGCTCATTAAGGGGATGTGGGTGATGGGCCTCCCGCGCGAAGCGCGTAAGCTTAGACGTTTCCTTAAATTATTAGGAAAAGAAGACGATTAATTGTACCGTTTTCGACTGATAATCCTTGGCTAAATGAAGTTCCCCCCCCCCTCCCGCGCGAAAGCTTTGGCGTTTCATTGAATTATTATAAAAAAGAAGACGATTTGCTCTACCGTTCTCGACTGTTTATCCTTTTCTGAATTCAGTCCCCCCCCCCCTCCCGTGCAAAGCGCGGAAGCTTTGACGTTTCATTAAATTATGAGAAAAAGCAGACGTTTCGGTGTACTGTTCTCGACTCTTAATCCTTATCTGAATGAAGCTTCCCCCTCCCGCGCGAAGCGCGGAAGTTTAAACGTTTCATTAAATTATTAGAGAAAGAAGACGATTCGTCATACCGTTTTCGACTCTTTATAAGGCCTATTCATCTGAATTCAGTTTCCCCCTCTCGCGCGAAGCGCGGAAGCTTTGACGTTTCCTTAAATTATTAGAGAAGGAAGACGATTCGTTGTACCGTTCTCGACTTGTCTGAATGAAGTATTCCCCTTCCGCGCTAAGCGCGGAATTTTTGGCGTTTCATCAAAATATAGAGAAAGGAAGACGATTCATTGTACCGTTTTCGACTCAATTTAAGCCCTATTCATCTGAATTCAGTTTCCCCCCTCTCGCGCAAAGCGCGAAAGCTTTATCGTTTCCTCAAATTATTAGAGAAAGAACACGGTTCGTTGTACCGTTTTTTACTCTAAATAAGCCCTATTCATCTCAATTCAGTTTCCCCCTCACGCACAAAGCGCGAAAACTTTGACGTTTCCTCAAATTATTAGAGAAAAAACACGATACGTTGTACCGTTTTCGACTCTAAATAAGCCCTAATAATTTTGTCTGAATTCAGTTTCTCCCTCTCGCTTTGACGTTTCCTTAAATTATTAGAGAAAGAAGACGATTCGTTGTACCGTTCTCGACTCGTCTAAATGAATTTTTGGCGTTTCATCACAATATATAGAAAGGAAGACGATTCCTCGTACCGTTTTCGAATCTTATTAAGCCCCATTCATCTGAATTCAGTTTCCCCCTCTCGCGCGAAGCGCGAAAGCCTTGACATTTCCTCAAATTATTAGAGAAAGAACACGATTCGTTGTACCGTTTTCGACTTTTAATAAGCCCTATTTGTCTGAATTCAGTTTCCCACTTTCGCGCGAAGCGCGGAAGCTTTGACGTTTCCTTAAATTATTAGAGATAGAAGACGATTCGTTGTACCGTTCTCGACTCGTCTAAATGAAGTTTAACCTTCCGCGCGAAGCGCGGAATTTTTGGCATTTCATCACAGTATAAAGAAAGGAAGACGATTCGTCGTACCGTTGTTGACTCTTAAACCTTGTTTGAATTTAGTTTCCCCGAAAATTTTAAACCTCTGATTTCTTTAGCTGAACTTATAGGAAAGTGAAACTTCGAGGAAATACAAGTATTGTAGTTGTAGTCACTCTCGAAATCGTCACAGCGGATAAGAAGTCACAGTTCGTAGGGAAAAAAACTTGTCGGCCGACCGACAATATACATCTCACCGACTTCAAACTTCTGCATTGATATAGTACACGAGGATCGAGCAAGAATACCGACAAAGCTGACCCGACACAGCAACATATTTACCCGTGTCTTTCTTGCTCCCTCGACGAGACGACTCAACCCAACAACCCCTTCTCTCTTTTACTCCCACTCCTCCTCTCTCAGACTCTTATCTCCCCTCTCTCTCCTCTCTTTCATCCCCCGTTTTTTTTGTTTCCCTTTCACTCTTTTTTCTTCTTTTTCCTTTTCTTTCTTTTCTTTCTTTTCCTTTCTTTCCTCTCCTCCCTCTTTTTCTTTTTTCTCTTTCTTTCTTCTCTTTTCTTTCCTTTCTTTTCCTTTCTTTCCTTTCTTTTCCTTTCTTTCTTTTCTTTTCCTTTTCTTTTTTTTTTTTCTTTTCTTTTCCTTTTCTTTTTTTCTTTTCTTTCCCTTTCCCTCTCTTTTTTCCCTCTCTTTTTTTTCCCTCTCTTTTTTTCCCTCCCTTTTTTTCCCCTCTATTTTTTCCCTCTTTTTTTCCCTCCCCCTTTTCTCTTTTTCCCGACGGCAGCGCAATTTTACCGACAAAATCCTGACAGGTGGGGGGGGGGGGTGTCACACCCCCCCACACCCCCCCCCCCCCCCCTTTGGCGACGCCCCTGTATGGGACGGACATGGGTATGGGTGCCTACAAACTATGTGCACCCCTCCTCTCAACTCTCAACTTGCATGTGCTCCTTTAAATTCCCTCTTCCTTCTCATTCCCGTCTTTTTTTTTTCTCGCCTCGAGTCTCACGTCACTGACCCATCTCTCTCAATGCGTTACTGATACACACCTTCAGTAGCAGAATTCTAAGGCATGTGAGTAGTATGCAGGCACATATACAGAGTCTGAATCGTGAGACTACAGTAGGCCATTTCACGTAGATAGACTTCCCTCAGACATGATATCTTTCGTAAAGTGTCAAATTAGAGTCTGTGCTTGTAGACTAAAATTGTGAGTGTGACCCAGCTTCTTCTTCTTAGTTGATCCCTCCACTGTTTTATATTAACGTAATATTTATTTCTCCTCTCGACCAATCACGTTGCTCATTGGGAATCGCAATCATCTCAGTCCTTGGTTTGAGTTCGTTGGTACGTACGCGTACACACATGCATGCACAGTACGATTCCGCACAAAACCAGCGTGCCAGCTAGGCCTACTACTAGATCTACTACAGAAATGTCTAAGAAATGTACTCTTATCCCTTGGCGAGGTAATGATGAATTTCAATGGATTTATCAGCAGATATTTCATGAGGATGCCGGAGGGAGGAAAACAGCTATTGACAGAATTAAATCTTGGAATTCAAGGTAAAACCTATATATTTTAGTGCCGTACACCAGATAGATCTATCGTCTGCTTCGTCATGTTCGTGTATCGTGTGCTACAACATAGGCCTAACTGTTGTTATACTATAGGCCTATAGACCTCTAGGTCTACTCAAAAATCAAGCCGAAATAACGGCGATATTGCTCGCAAAAGACAAGAATGTAGAATCCAGATTTGAGAAAAAGTCATCTCCCATTAGGATTACACGCGAAAAGTAATGGATCAAGTGATAATAGGGTAGATCTAGATCTAATAAGTAAATATGGTTGTTTAGGCCTATTCTATTTGCGATTCTAACTGTTAACGTTAGACCTAGATCTAGAGACTCTAGTAGAGTAAAGCAAGGAGCCCGTTTTCGGCCACTTAAGACAAAATCCTATTTTTAGGACCCTTTACTTCCTATTTATTATCATTTTTTGTTCAAATCATGAAGCAAATGTTATTATTATTTAAACAAAACAAGAATCCCAGAAAAAAATCACGAATTGCCATGACAATATTCATTTCAATTTTCACTGTTTCGGAGTCAGTTTTCGGCATAGCGTACCAGTTTTCGGCCGCATGTACAAAGTCAATAGGAAGCGCGCGCACGCGCCGTGCGTTTCCGCGCTGATCTATAGCACTAGCGGGCGGAGCAGATATCCCACGCCGGAGCTCGCCAGGCCGAAAAACTAGTACTGTGGTGATCGGATATTGGAATCTGAATTAGACAGAGATATCGTGTGTGCGTTGCGGTGTGCGGCTGCATTGATTTAATACATGCGATGAGATACTTTTGAGCTTGCGACTTGCACAAAATCGGGCTCTAAATCTGAAAAATACTTGAAATAAAGCTCATTTTATGGTACCCATATTTCTTACAGACACGCGTAAGATATTCGATTTTTCAGATTCGGGTAGCGGGACCGCCGATTACATCGCTAGAATGTGATATTTTAGGATATATTTTTCATTGCAAATGTGGTTCTTCAGTGACACTGGCATGGTATGGTATGTGTGGGATATGTGTTATGCTATTATGCGATGTATTTTAGAGTGATTTTACCTTGCATCCAATTACCAATCGGCAGAAAACTGGAGCTGGCCGATTACCGGCTCCTTTACTCTACATGTTTTAATATTCAAAGGAGATGGTACAGTGAAAGGTCAAAAAGAAAAAAAAGTGAAGAAAGAAAATTGTTGGAGATGCCCGGACTCGAACCAGGGACCTCGAGGTCGGAAGTCAAGTGCGTTACCGATATACCAAAACATTTCCCATAGAGATTACACGTAAACGGAAAATGGAATTCTCAAATCCCACTTTGTAAGTGAAATGAGCATGATCCCAGCATCTGATCGAAAAATAAAAGGCACACTTATGATAGCATATTGTCTCAGCTACAACATACTCGAAGCTCAGCGTAAACAAAGATAAAACGACGGAGATATTGCTCGCGAAAGACGAGAATGTAGAATCCAGTTTTGAGAAAAAGTCATGTCCAATAGAGAATACATGCAAAATGTGAAAAATTGACATGCCTCCTTTAATCGCAAAAATACGCCACTGCATGATGCCATTGTCAAAATGAAATATCGTGGTGACTGCATTTGTAGAGAATATTCTCAGGTAGAACATATCAAAATTTGAAAGAAAATTGATCAATATTTACAGAGATAGTCTACAATCAATTTTCCAAAAATCTGCTGACGTCATAATATGCAAATTGAAATTTTGTGTTCGGAGGCCATTATGATGACGTCATGAATTAATTGAGGGTCAAATGAGACTAGAAATCATCTCTCCGACTCATAATCTATCTAAATATGAAAAGAAAATGGGGGGTATCTATCCATTCTGAAGGGTTACAATGAATTTTGTATAGGCATGTTTTTGCACGTGTATGTTTAACTCCGGGAAGCTCCAACACCGGCGCCGCAGGCGTCGGAGCTTCGGGTGGTTTTGTTGGTTTCTCGTGGGGGCTAGTAAAACAGCCGATTGGGTGATATTATCGTTAAATCTGCAAAGGTAGTACTTACAATTTTTACATCATAGGGTGCACGACTCCTCAGGGCTCAACTCCAATCACTTGAATGTATAATTTGAAGAAGTCTTCGATGGGAAAAAAAGGTTAATTCCGGGTACTACACCAACGATTCTTCCATGTCGCAGCGTTGATTCAAAATAGCGATGAGAAGGTACGCATGTGCGGCAGTGGCGAAGAAAATATGAATATTCATGCTATCGAGCGCCGATTGCTCGAAATCGCTGAATATGCACGACTTGAACGCGCCATCTACATGTTACGTTCGTAATGGCGTTATCACAGTTTTTCCTTCATAATCATTTTGCCTTCGGCGTAGACTAGAAGGGATAAGATTTAGATGACTCCATGCGCAGCGAGAGTTTAACACGGCTTGCAAGATTTTCAACATGGATGTCGATTTTGACCCATAATTTCCTTAAAAGGGACCAGTAAACGGATTATTTCAGTCAAGTTAGTATGTGGAACCGATGTATTATAGCCTAGGCCTGATTTACAATTGGATATGCACGAGGTAAAATGACATTTGGGGGGATTTGGGGGGGCATATAAATATGGCCATAAATGGCCATGTTGTTAGCAAGGGAATGCGTAGAGTCGGCTTTCGTCTCTAAAGAGAGAGCCGACCCTACCCCAATAAGAGGCTAACGAACGAAAGAGACAGAAAATTTGGTCTACCTATTAGCCACCCTACCGGATTCCACGTGCGCATGCGCTGGTTTCCTTCGCGAGTGAGCATGCGCAGGTTCCCCTCGCGAGCTCAAATTTCGCCTCCGGGGCGCACGCTGCCGCGGGCATTGTCCTCATTAGATTACAGTCATAACTTTATCCGCCAACTACGGAGATGTCTCTGATCTTCCTAAACCGTTGCACCAAGAGCTTACTAGCTAGTATCTCGTGAGATCGATACTATCGGCGAGAAGAGGAGCCGAGACTTAGCCTTAGTCGCAATACCACCGGATTATTACAAAATTAATATTAGGGAAAATGCAATTATTTAAATGAATTAGTTATAAAAAAGATCGAAAATGATATCAAGAAATAAGAGATGCAATATAGATCTACTTCCAAATTTGTGTAGATTATACAACAGAAGTACTTGTAAAATATAATTGTGAGTATTTCATGACATGACCAGTGAATCAGTTTTGTTCTTGAGATGGGTACCCCCCGGATATTCCCATTTGATAGTTTATAAAAACACACCAATATATTATTCTTAGAAAAATACGATGTACATGTAATGAAATTTGTGTCCAATGTTTTAGGTGTCAGTTGAATAATCAAATGACAAAACTTCAAACATTCAAAATGTTAAAACACATGTTTCAAACTATTCATTTTACACATTTGAAGATAGAATTTATCTCAAAGGCAATATGTGTCTGAAAACTAAAGAATACACTTCAAACTATGGCTTGCCTGCCGTGGCAAAATACATATCCCTTCGACGAGTTTACAATGTGTAAATAAAGGCGTATAATCATTTTTTTAAGTGGGAAATCCTTAAATACAGACATGGCATATTTTCATAAGATTATCAAATACAAAAAACGATAACCCACTGTTTAAGTGAATGTGTAGAAAGATCATAGTTGGGGGATTTATTGTCCTTTGTTGCCAGCCATAGTCTACCCAATAAATGACATGTGATGGCGCTGCCCATCGACTAAATAGTTATGACAGAGATACGACAGTGTCAGAGGTGTCATAACTCCTTAGTCAGGATGTTGTCGTTGATCTTGGCAAAGAGGGCTTGGTGAAACACGTAGCGGACAAGTTGCTCACTAACTCTGATTTAGTCGAGAAGTTAGACTTATAACGGTTTGTAGGAACGGGCCCCAGAGCTCTACACTGCACTGCACTGTCGCTGTCGCATCTTTTTTTTTTAAGCATTTGTTTTGAAAGTCAGTGTTTATAACTTTATGCTTCTAGTTGTAACCAACCTCCCATGTTGTAACAAGTGATTTTATTGATCAAGTCTTTCTTTGTCATGTTTGTACAATACATGTTCCATGCGCCATTTCATTTTATTATGATCAGTGATGCGATGAAACTGGTGGAACTTTGTTGGAAGTGGAAAAGATGTTGGCAATGCATTGTCAATAACAAACTTGAAGTTGTTGTTTGTATTTTTGGCGTTCAGTAAAAATTGACTTGCGCTAGTTCAGAAGTGTATCCAGACTTTGACCCGTAACTCCGGCCCTACTAAAACATGTACGAGAATCGACTAAATCTTCATCAATTGTTCAAATAATGGGCGCTTGTTCAGAAACGTATCAGGCAAAATTTGACCAGTACAAAGCTACATGTACCAAGTGTCACGCATCAGGCGTGACATCACGCATTTCGAGGGTCTGGAAATGCTCTCACGCACGGCGCGCGTGCTAGATTTTAAAAACCGCTATACCTTATACGTGTGTTATACCCTTGCACACGCGCTTGCGCGCCGAAAAATGAAAATGTCACGCATTGCCGATCTTTGAACTTGGCGTCTCTGCCAGTAACTCCAGCGTGGAGATACCCTACTAAAACATACCCAAAATGAAGTAAAAATATTCGTGAAATGTCCATATAAAGATCCAAAGTACATGCCGATGCTGGGTTGCGGGTGGGCGCGTGCGCGCCTGTGTGAAGTTACATGTATCTACCGTAATGAGAATCTGAGACATTACGGTAGATAACTTCACACAGGCGCGCGCCCACCCGCTACCTAGCATCGGTATGCACTTATATTCTGCAGCAGTTTGCTGTGAAACCTGAGAAAATGTGTATAGAGTAAAGGATGGGGTTTTCGGCCACTTAAGACAAAATCCTTTTTTTTTGCACCCTTTACTTCCTATTTATTATCATTTCTTGTTCAAATCATGAAGCAAATACTATTATTATTTAAACCAAAAAAAAATCCCAGAAAAAAATCATGAATTGCCATGACAATATTCATTTCAATTTTCACTGTTTCGGAGTCGGTTATCGGCATAGCGAACCAGTTTTCGGCCGCATGTACAAAGTCAATAGGAAGCGTGCGTGCGCCGTGCGTTTCCGCGCTGATCTATAGTACTAGTGGGCGGAGCAGGTATCCCACGCTGGAGCTCCCCGGAGCTCGCCAGGTCGAAAACTAGTACTGCTGTGATCGGTAATTAGAATCTGAATTAGACAGAGATCGTGTGTGCGTTGCCGTGTCCGGCTGCATTGATTTAATACATGTGGTGAGATACCTTTGAGCTTGCGACTAGCACAAAATCGGGCTCTTAATCTGAAAAATACTTGAAATAAAGCTCATTTTATGGTACCCATATTTCTTACAGACACGCATAAGATACTTGATTTTTCAGATTTGGGTAGCGGGACCGCCGATTACATCGCTAAAATGTGATATTTTAGGATATATTTTTCATTGCAAATGTGGTTCTTCAGTGACTCTGGCATGGTATGGTTTGTGTGGGATATGTGATATGCTATTATGCGATGTATTTTAAAGGGATTTTACCATGCATCCAACCAATCGGCCGAAAACTGAAGCTGGTGGATTACCCCCTCCTTTACTCTACTAATATCATTGTTTTTCCAAAAAATACTCCAAAAATAACAAGAAAATTGACACGAAACAGGTAATAAACATAACTTTTAACTCATGATCTTTATTTGGACATTTCATGATATTTACTTCATTTTGGGTCTGTTTTAGTAGGTATCTCCACACCGGAGTTACGGGTCAAATTTTGGATACGTTTCTGAACAAGCGCCAAATAATGGTCATGATTTAAAAGTCGTTAGGTTTCTTACCTGTTTCGTGTCAATTTTCTTATTTTTTAGGAGTCTTTTTCCTAAAAGCGAACAGGATTCACTGCAAACTGCTGCACAATACAATTGCATACCGTACCGACGGTGGGGTGTGGGTGTTCAGTTAGCGACTTTATGTAAGCATTTGGTCATTACGGTCACTAACTTAACATGCGGGCATGCCCGCCTGAATCCTACTACCAAAATTGAAATGGTACAGAAATCTGAATGCCCGTGGGCACTCATGCATAAGAACAGGGGAATTTATTTTTTGTTAGTACTGAAATTCAACATTGTGTAGACTGAATATTGACTTGTGTCTCCTACTCACAATGATATACGGTGATGAAAAACAATGACATTGGAACAGAATGATCAGTGTCTTTCTCTCTCTCTCTCTCTCATTCTCATTCTCATTCTCCAGGTTCAAGAAGTTACAAGTGGCCATCATATGTACTAAAGACCTTGCGGAACTCCTACTCCGGATGCCTGAAGAGGGAGCCACAAACACCTTTCAAATGGCATGCACACTTGCCATTACCAGGTAGGTAATTGCCACTTCTTTACCATGCACTGTTATATCAGGGTCCGTTGAATGGCCTTAAGAAGCAACAATCTCTTTTCTCAATACTCTCTCCATTATTCAAAAATAGTTTCACTATCTCTCTCTCTCTTTCTCTCTATCTCTCTTGCTCTCACTCTCTCTCATTTTTTTTTCTCTCTCTCTCTCTCTCTCTCTCTCTCTCCCTCCCTCCCTCCCTCCCTCCCTCCCTCCCCTATTTCTATTTAGAAAATGGGCATACCGGTAACTAAAAATTTAGAGTGTATGTCCACAGACCTCTTGAAGGCCACTGCTGCTGAATCCACTGTTGTATTGAAGTGCATGAAATATGTCTTAGAAGTGAATAAACACATTTTCTCTCTTCAATTTCAGATTTGTGAATCTACTGACCGAGGAGCAGCAGAAGTTTGGTAGGGGGAAACCTGTTCATGAGGTTGCTTTAAAGGTAATTTTAGCACTCTGTTTAAAGCTCAGGTAATGGAATTGCCTTTCAAGAGAGACTAGCTAGTATAGATTCTGAATTGTTTATCATCAGTAGATGGCATGTTTTAACAAGCAACATTTAACCATTTAAAACCCTGACTCATTTGTACATTCAGAGTCGAAGACCATTTAGTGCATGTATTTTATGTTTTGGTCATCTTGAGCATTGACCGTAATTAGTTTTATTGTATTTCTTGAGTACATATTATCTGTCATTGCCAGAATCTAAAAGCATGTGGTTATGACTAATTTATTGACATTGGGTTTCCTTTTTTGTTCTGTCAGATAAGTACAACATCTTTCTGGGGTTGTATTCTGAAAACAATGCAATCTTTTATGGTAGTTAAAAAGGACTATTGTCATGACAAATTTATATTAGGAAAAACTATTGGTTAATGTTGAGTGTCGATGCAAAATTGGCCGTGTTCATGTAAAAGATAAAGGTGAGTTCTGGTAAAAAAAAAAAATTAAAAAAATCACACAGAATCAAACCAAACTTACACTGAATGTTCAAGATTACAAATAAATGTCATTTGCCAAACAATTTTGGTAGAAAATGTAAACTGGCTGAGTATTGAGCATAGAAAGATTAGGAAATCAAGGTATAGTAGCCCCATTTGTGTAGTCCCATCTACATCTTTCTGTGTACAGTGCTTGTCACTTTACCAAGACTGGGCCAAATTTATTATGATTTTGATGACTCCAGAACTTTGCAGTACACACCAATACTTACATGCTACATGATCAACTTTTTCTGATCCATTCCACACTTTTTCTTTCACAATGCAATTGGATGACCAGAACTCACCTTTATCTTTAAAGTAGATATTCATTGATTTTAAAAACTAAATTTATTTTTATTATCGCAAAGTTGAAACTTTGGTTAGACGAGGTTATCAAAATTCAATGCTTGGAAACATTCGAAGTAATGATTATTATAAATTACATAACGCTTAAATACAGCCCCGGCATAGCACCTGAAGAGCTCTCCGAACGCTGCTGAGATGTGTGACATCACAGTATGGACATAATTTGCACAAGCAGACGATGTCCCATGTCATCTCACACATTTTCAGTGCCTGTTTTTTCATCTTCTCTCGAGTTCATTCTCTTACTTCACTACCGTCAGGCTAAATGGATAATCTATTTCCTCACTTTAAACCCCGCGCATGGTTTTATTTTGATGACAACTGCAGCAATACAAAAATAAAGGAATCTGTCGCTTGTAAACAAAATAAGACGCCATTGTATATTCAGCTGCACACACCGCGGTATGTTCGGCGTTTCAAGAGGGAACAAATGCCGTCCTTAATATCATTTCGGGGTTTTTTCAATTTGAAAGTCTGGTTTCTTTGATTGTTGATTAACCCCTATTTTGTGTATTTACAAGCAAAATATTTTAGTTATCAGAATCAGGTCATATCCCCTTTTGAATGGTTTGACATGCCATTACATTCATATACACTAAATAATAGCTTTGCAATTATGTTCATTCTATATGGGATGTCGTCTGCTTGGGCAGTATTGGTCCATATAGTGACGTCATTAAAACATTGTTATTTTTCTTTTTTCTTTTTTTTTACGATGGCCATCTGTTAGCTTACCAGTTTCTAGTGATACATTAGTTGACATATTTGTGATTTTCTTTGAATTTCACCTTTAAGCTAATGGAGACATCTCAGCAAGCACCAATAAAAAGTTTTAAGTTTTGGTTCCCGGCAAGTTCAGGTTGATTATGACATCATTGTTCCTAAACATTAAAGATAGATGTAACATTGTTTCCAGAATAGACTGTATTCTACAGCTCCAGACCATTTCCAGCGGTGGGCTTTGTTTGTCAAGGATCACAAAAGCTGTACTTTACTGGCCCTATTTCTAATAGGTTCAAACCAATATTTCTACTTGTATGAAAGCAGTAACAAGATATTACATTAAGCTCCTCAAAGGTGGCAAAATTGTTCATAATTTTCTATATATTAGCTATTAATGTCATAGACAAACTTCCAATTAATTTGGAAGATTACAACAGTAACCTTTGTCATGAAACAATACTGAAATCGCGAATGGGGTATTGTCATTCTTTACCAGATCGGTCTTCCAAAATGGATTGTGGACATTCGACACCAGGGAACCCATGGACATATGCCTAAACGTGAGGTGCTAGAGAGTGCTCTAAGGTTCGGTCTGAACTGGTTGAAGGTCACATTCTGGGAGGCACACATCAAGGAGATGTGTACAGATAAACAAGTCCAAGACGACGACTTTGACCTCAAGCTGAGAGGTAACTTTTATATTTCACCATTAAGGCTTTGCATAACCGTGTAATGAGGTACTCGAGTACACTCCCAGGCTTACAGGCGAATACTCGAATATTCGGACATGCTGTTTTATAAATCAAAGATGACAGAATAATCCATTTTCCTCCGAGTTCAAACAGAAATCTGTACATTTGGTCCCAGTTTCTGAGTGGTGAGTTGATAGTGATTGAGCTGGGAAACATTTTTACCTGCGGTACCATGCCGGCGCTGCCTCCAGGGCACGGGTGAGCATCGGCCTGGACAGTGCCAGGCGCTGGCAAAAAAAATGGCGGCCGAGTATGAAAAATCGTACTCGAGTAGTTGTTAACAGTGTGAGTACTCAAGTGTTTGACTACTCGTCGCAGCCTTATTCACCATGTGGCTGGCAGAAGGTCAAAAGCACATTTACTGTTCTGATAAATGTAGATGTGCACTATTTTGTTAAGGAGAATGTCATTAGTATTAAAATTCCCTTAACTTCAAAACTATGTGCTTCTTTGATAAGAAGCTACTCCAATCAGGTAATTAACCTGTATTTTTACCTCTGTATTAGTCAGTGAAGAGAGAAATCCTGTCATATAAACCCCCCAAAAAAGAAAAGAAAAGAAATGGTATAATAATAATAATAATAATACATATGATTTATAAGGCGCCAAATCCACTTGACAGTCAAATGCTCAAGGCGCAGCTTGTGCAAAAGATGAAATACATACATGATACATGTATACGATGCAGGGATGAGATTCCTCTGTCAATCCCGCCGATTTTAGGATTTCAAGATAGGGAAAGAAAAAAATTCTCTCATCTGAACAATGTTATAGAGTCCCTTTAGGTAAAATGGGGTAACAAATATTTCTCAAATTTAGAATTTAAATGCAATGAAAACATGTTCTTTTACGTAAATATATTCTTAAGTTTTCTGTGAAAAGAGTGCCTTCTTAGCCCTGACAGGGGTGCTACCCCGGACCACCATTTAATCTTCCTACTTTTGGGAAATTCTCTGTCTCATCCCTGACGATGAGTAACATTAATTTGTCGTTGACCTTGAGAAGGCGCAAACCTATTGATTTTCAACAATGTTGTCAAGTCTCGTTTTCCCAAAGTTCTGCAGGGCGCGACAAACCCGCTTGCCCGACGTCCCGGGGCAACCAAATTGAGCCGTCGGGCAAGTAAATCAAATTATCACTTGCCCGATTCGGGCAAGTGATACTTTTACAGTAATTTCCTAGTGTCCAAGAACTCTACCATTCACCCGTCAACTTCTTACCCGTCGTCAAAATCCAGAAGCAAAAAAGCGATCGTTCCGATTTCGAAAAAACTTCACAGACAGCTAGCCAGCTCAGCTAGCTCAGCTAGCTCAGCGCGCATGCAACAGTGACACTTCAAGCCATGAATGCCGCTCCGCCTCCACGCACGGCCGGCCGTGAGCTAGCTAGAGACAGCTAGCGCGATCGTACCAGCTGCGAGCTTATTCGCGCTCTCTCTCTCTAGCTCTGCAGGCCGCACCGACAGGCCTTTGCTATTCTCTGATTGCCGATTGGTTGAATCACGCCAAATATGACGTCATTATTCTAGGGAAATGAACACGTGCGAATCGGAATGGAATAAACAACAGGGATTTTCTAGTAAGTACAAAAAGTCAAATGTTTGATATTTATTCATAATGACTGTTAATGATTGTGAACATATTATTTAAAACTCGCTGCTCATATAAATCAGATGAATGTTTTTGTCTCGTTTTCAATTTATTACTGCGGTCTCAAGATCCGACCGAGCGAGTCATTTTGATAATAGTATCGAGACCCCCAGAATATAAGCCGTTGTTGTTTTGTTTTCATGGTTTTAGCGACGTTGTTTAGTCTAGTTTTCGCATACTTATCCGAGATTTATCGTAAAATATCTTCAATATTATTATTTAGTAAGAATTTACAAATTTTGGCATGATATTTATAGCAGTGAATGATGAAATAAAAATGTCCGTACTTTATTTAAAATAGTTGATTACCCATTATTTACATGACGTTTCTTGATGGAAGAGTTGACCCAAATTATTAACAGCTGAAAATTAGCCTACGTTTCCAAATGACAGCGGCTTGCACAGACACACACGTGCGTTGATCAGCTGTTTTTTCTCGATTGTGCTAGTAAACATGGAGGCACCGCCAGCCAAGAAAGCGAACTACTTTTTCGCTTTAAAGTTTTGGGCAAGTGGAAATATTGTTTGGGCAAGTAAATTGAAAACCCACTTGCCCGACAGGGCAAGTGGTGAAAAAAATTCTTGTAGCACCCTGTTCTGTTGTGGAACTTCTGATCTTAGATACATAAAGGTATTGCAGTGTAGTGGATAAGTCGATGGGCTGTGGATCACAGGTTGCAGGGTTAGTTAGGGTCTGAATCTATGCCACGGCATGTGGTCCTTTGCGAAGACAGTAAAGTACATTAGCCACCCTAGTGCAATAGATATATAAAGAGTTAAATGTCCATAATTCAATGGGAAGCAATGCCTTGAAATACATTAACCAGATAACACTGGCATCACACAACCTATTTGCTTCATAAAAGCTTCATAATAGTTTCACTAGATAGATATTGCAGTATACAACTGTATGTGTGTTATGTTCGTAGAGGTGTCGTGGACGAGTGGATATGTCACCGGACTGTGGATCATAAGGTCCGCGGTTCAAGTCCCACCGCGGCACTAATGTCCTTTGGCAAGACATTGATCTACATTTGCCACTCTCCACCCAGGTGTTAAATGGGTACCCGGTAGGATGCGAAAGCTAATGTGCTTAGATTAGCAAGTGTGCGCTTGTAAAAATGACGCCTGGCTGGAATGCTCCCCAGGGAGTGGAGAATGTGCATACATTGTGTGCGGGTAAGCCTGAATCCGATGACCGGGGTAATAATATATATATTTCTGTAAAGCGCTTTGAGAGGGCCTTCGGTCCTGAAAAGCGCTATATAAAAACTAGCTATTATTATTATTATTATTAATGATTTTGGTAATAAATAGTGAACTATCCAGGTGTCTTTATTTTAATTAGTGAATATTCAGATGATTAAAAATTTCTGTTATATCAATTAATGAAATCAAATTATGATTGCTCTATAAAATGTACATTCAAAAAGATTAATTATTAATTAAAATTGTTACCTATAAGTATAAGCTTTTGATTTTTGTTTTCTTGCAGAAAAGATCAGGGGTATTACAGCTGAGTACATGGACTACATGGTGAATGCCAGGACAGTAAGTATGATGAAATTCTTTCATTTAGCATTAGAATAGTAGTATAGACATGTAATATCATGATGGTAGTCATAGTCCTGAAAAAATAAATGTTTAGTAACTGGAATTGTTTTCCTTATAATTACAAATTATATACATGTAGACCCATCCATATGAAGTTCTTATAGCACACAAGCTACTGAATTTTTGGCTTCTTAACATGTTAGTAAAAATAATCTTCATCTCCAATTTTATAATAGGACTTATAAAGTTTAAGGTATTACTGTTGACATTTAAGGGTGTTCATGATCAGGCCGTAGGATATGTGGCTTTCCTGGTAGAAGAACATCATTCTCGTCCTGGTTTACACTTGTCAGTACTACATCTTCTCTAAGTTCCACATACATGACTCCGGGTTTATGGTGATCGTGCCTTCTCCTCAGTTGCTCCACGCCTCTGGAACTTCCTCCTATTCTTCGCGACACCAGCAAGCTAGAAAGCTTCAAATCTGTCCTCGAAACCCATTTTTACAAGCAAATGTGTAGTCCTCGACTTTTGAAGGAGCGGGCGCCTTTGAATGTTTGAAACAGATAAATGAGGCTATACAAGTGCTGTGGATCATCATCATCATCATCATCATCATCATCATCATCATCATATGCAGGTGGTGATGTTTTTAATGATGGTGCAGATGATGAACATCATGAAATTTGATATTTTTTGTTTCTAGCTTGTGAATGGCCGACCACAGCACCCGGGAAAAGAGATCTTGCAGAAACTGAACAAGCCGCTCAGGAATTATGCATCCAAGTAAGATTATTGTTCTTGAATATAAATGTATCTGTGTCACTGATTTAGTTACAGATTTCACAAGGGAGTAATTGCTTAAAGAATACAATTTGTTTTCAGCTAACTGGTATTTAATGGTATAAAATCAACCTAAATTTGTTAACTTACATTTAAAAAAGTAATGGTTTAGGAGCATGAAAAGGATGAAGGAAAACACAAATAAACTGTGTTGGATTTGATTTCTCTGTGTGCCCTTTCTAAGTGCACATGCATAGAGAATCCATACGTATTATCTGAGCCGCGGCTCTCGTGTCCTTGGGCAAGCCATGAATCTACATTTGCCACTCTCCAACCAGGTGAAGTAGATGGGTAAGCAGTAGGAATAAATTCTTTGAATGCTTTAGCACCTTATTATGCCAGCTCAGCTACAGCTTGGGTAATAATATAATACTTTTTGTATTAAGCTCGTAGAGTATTTAAATCAACCTGTTATTATTATCATCTTTATTTTAAGTTAGTAAATGTGTCAAGACCGTGTCTCGGATTGTTTACTGATATTTTGTTCATGTTTACTGTACCTTCAGAAACTATCTTGCCTATCTACTCACCCAAGATGGCTACTTGGTCCCTACTCCGGATCAAGAAAAAGCTCTCTGCATCACCAGTGGTAAGAACACAAGACCTTGTCCTCATAATCAGAGGGTTTGTTGATGATTGTTGAGTGTTTCTTTATATTCCAACTTGCATTTGCATTTAGACTCGTTTGATGTTGCAGCTAAGAATGACTGCAGGTTTTGACCTTTTCCATATTCACCTCTTTCACTCATGCAATACCTATACCTGGAAATTGCACTTTTATTATTATTAGTATTGTATTGAAGAAAATGTATATCTCAGAGCATACTATGGAGATTAAGTCCTCATGATTTCATCAGAAATATCAACTGTCTTTGACAAATCTCATAACTGGTGACCATTTGATTTTTTGTTTTCACGTTAAACCGTTACATGTTGTTTCCAAATTACTATTCTTCAACCACAATTTTACAACAACTGTTATTATACAGTAGGCTTGCAGTTGCACCATGTGTGAAAGGGGGAGGATTAGGGAGTCCTGAAAAGGACTCTTGGTAAACTTTCTTTCTTGAGTGTGTCCTTTTCAGGACTCCCTAATCCTCCGCCCTCTCTCACATGGTGCAACCGAAAGCCTACTATATATCTACATCACCATGCAAGCTGATGCTTATAAGCAGCATCTAACTCTGTTATTACCATACTCCTATTTTGCATTGAAGGTATGAATGACTCTCGGTCTGAGGACCTTCCTACATCTCTGGTTAACTTCTGGGGACCTCTTCTTGACTTTGCCCGGCCGTGTGGTCTGGAGCACCTCATCATCGATTCCATCATCAATCAGCTCTCCCGCATCACCTCCGGGGGGAGCTCTGGTGACGCCAAGGAAGGTCCGGTCGTCAGATACCTTCTGGGATGGGCCAAGAACCTCATGAAGAGGAATGCAGTCACGCTAAGATCAGGTAGATATTGATGGCGTGAATAGACTTTGACTCAAAGACCTGGTATTGATTTGACGTCAGTTTTGGTATAGAGAAAGGAAACTTTAGCCCCTCTGAGATATGTGACTATTTATTAGAATCATTTTTTAAAATTATTTGTGCATTAACTTCAAGCATTAAGTAATAATTAGCAAACTACTTTGTGAGGAATGACTTGAAAATATATAAAGATACTGCAAATTGTATAACATACCTTTACGGTTATTAATTGTTTATTAAGTGGATTCTGGTGGAAAACATGGGAGTTAGTTAACAGCTGTTGGGATCATTAATCTGTGAGTCTAAGATTGAATGAATTAAAAACAGGTCATGAATTTTGTTGAGAGTGTTGTGAGTGCAAGCACTTTAATAGTGTTTTGGGAATATAGAGTAAAAAGATAAGAAATCATAAAACTGCTGACCACTTCATGACTTGATCTAATGCACTGAAAGCAGTTACGATTAAAGGCTCTGCTACTTTCTCTCTCTTTAGATCCTGTCAACAGAGGGACCCCTCCCCAGAAGAGGAACAGACGAGAGGCATCCGAATGGAGCAAGACGCTGAAGAAATGCATTGAAAAGCCCAACAAACACAACATGAACCTATTACCCTGGTTAGTAACCCCTTCTCTTTGCAGCTAAGTAATCCTAAATGACCCAAGCGTAAAATTTTGAGTTGCAAAGCGTGTGTCATTGTTAAACTGGACATACTGCATAGTCCATGGAAATCAATTTCACAATATGAATACCAGTCTCAATAAAATGATCAACACTAAAATGCATGGGCGTAATTTGCTGCCCAAAACACAGGTGTTTGGATTGATGATCCAACACTTACTCCGGCCTTTAAGGTTGCAATTTTAAAGCCTGTCTGTACTAGTTTGGCCAGGAGGGATTACTGACAGGTGGCTATCTCACCTACTCAAGTCTCGATTAACATAAGAGAAAGAGGACCATGGGGGACCAATGGTCACCAATTAGGCATTGTTTTCTATATATAGAGAGGGAGCAAGTAGCTACAAGTACTACAGTGGGGCTTTAATTTAAGGCTAAGGTTAGGGTTAAATTTAGTGCCGGGTCCTGAGCTGAAGTTCATAATGTGGTTAGTGTAGGAAGTACCATTGAGCAATTGTCACAGGAGCATGTTGCATATAAAATTTCAGGTTGGATTCAATGGTGCAGGAAGTATTCAAAACAAATATATGAATTCGGCAGAGATGAACATCCAAACATGAATTGTTTTCTCAGCCTTCTGTCCATCCTCTAATCTTTCACATACGAGCATCTTGAGAGAATTACTGGGACAAGATCTAGCTCATTAACTTTGATGAACTAAACCTTTATCATTATTTGTACATTCTCTCTGTCAATTAAACCTGTAAAAGCATCTAAGGAGATCTTCCAGTCATGACTATTTTCTCCCATTTTTGTTCTTATAAGTCCTTCTGACCCTTCCAAATCCTCAAACACCAGGGACAGTTTCAATGACTCACTGGAACTAGATCGAGTGAAGTTATGATTTATATTTTTGTTTTTGTTTTTCTTTCATGCTCTTAGTCTTCTAGAACTGCAGGATCCCCGCCTTGAAAAGACCGCAGAAGAAACCGTGATCAAGCTTGCCAAAGCTTGATCAAACTGTGAATTAAACCTGTTAAAGCATCTAAGGAGATCTTCCAGTCATGAATATTTTTTTCCATTGTTGTTCCTCTGACCCTTCCAAATCCTGAAAACCAGGGACAGTTTCAATGACTCACTAACACTAGATCAAATGAATCGAGTGATGATTTATATTTTGTTTTCCTTTCATGCTCTTAGTCTTCTAGAACTGCAGGATCCCCGCCTTGGGAAGACCGCCGAAGAAACCTTGATCAAGATTGCCAAGGCCATGGTCCATGGCCCGAACGGTATGACCCTTCCAACTAATGGGCTGCCCTCGCTTGATGACATAGAAGCAATGATCGAGTCCAGACGGAATTGCAGGGGAAATCCAATGTTAGATATGCTCTCTGCAGGGCGGAGGGATGCACAGAACAGGACAGTGGTGGATGCAACAGATCCATGGCATGTTACCAATGGTATGTTGTGTTATTTTTCAGGATACTTACTTCTATTAAGTTGTTTGATTTTGTTAATGTCATCGTTAAATGTGGTGTAAAACATCCTTCATGGGAGTTGCCCTCACAATACATGTGCCTCCTTCTGATTAAAGAAGAAGAAAGTACATATTTTAATCCAAACAACAAGTGGAATGTTGACCCAAGGTCAGTGTTTGCTGCTCGTATTTGTTGCTTGAATGAATTTGCAGTGAACCTCATTATTAGGCTCTGTTGAATAGAACCAGTAACCTTAACAACGAGCAAATGTCATGTAAGCTCTTCAGTACTCCATAGGGACCAATTTGGATAAACATAATGCAATAGTTTTTAATTCAATAACCGTTCTTCATCTTACTTTTGCTTGAATTGTTTACAGACCTTGTGGATTGGAGCCACACGCCCCTTGGTGTATTACCATGGCAACCAGACAATCCTGACTTCTTCCAGCTCAGCGTGCCTACATCCAACATGAAAAAGCGAAAATTGTCTTCTGACTCCCTAGAGTAGTGTCACAACGAGGTGACAATATATTACACGATCACATCTTCCTGTACAATAGACAAAGATTAACAATACAAATGTGTGGAGACACACACATGATGTATACATCAGACAATACAAACGTGTGAAGACACACACACATGATGTATACATCAGACAATACAAATGTGTGGAGACATACACATGATGTATACATCAGACACATGATGTATACATCAGACAATACAAATGTGTTGAGACATACACATGATGTATACATCAGACACATGATGTATACATCAGACAATACAAATGTGTGAAGACACACTCATGATGTACGCATCATACAATACAAATGTGCGAAGACACACACATGATGTACGCATCATACAATACAAATGTGCGAAGACACACACATGATGTACGCATCATACAATACAAATGTGCGAAGACACCAATGATGTACGCATCATACAATGCAAATGTGCGAAGACACACTCATGATGTACGCATCATACAATACAAATGTGCGAAGACACACTCATGATGTACGCATCATACAATACAAATGTGCGAAGACACACACATGATGTACGCATCATACAATACAAATGTGTAAAGACACACTAATGATGTACGCATCATACAATACAAATGTGCGAAGACACACACATGATGTACACATCATACAATACAAATGTGCGAAGACACACACATGATGTACGCATCATACAATACAAATGTGTAAAGACACACTAATGATGTACGCATCATACAATACAAATGTGTAAAGACACACTAATGATGTATGCATCATTCAATACAAATGTGCGAAGACACACACATGATGTACACATCATACAATACAAATGTGCGAAGACACACACATGATGTACGCATCATACAATACAAATGTGCGAAGACACACACATGATGTACGCATCATACAATACAAATGTGTAAAGACACACTAATGATGTACGCATCATACAATACAAATGTGCGAAGACACACACATGATGGACGCATCATACAATACAAATGTGTGAAAACACACTCATGATGTACGCATCATACAATACAAATGTGCGAAGACACACTCGTGATGTACGCATCATACAATACAAATGTGCGAAGACACACACATGATGTACGCATCATACAATACAAATGTGTAAAGACACACTAATGATGTACGCATCATACAATACAAATGTGCGAAGACACACACATGATGTACGCAACATACAATACAAATGTGCGAAGACACACACATGATGTACGCATCATACAATACAAATGTGCGAAGACACACACATGATGTACGCATCATACAATACAAATGTGCGAAGACACACACATGATGTACGCATCATACAATACAAATGTGTAAAGACACACTAATGATGTACGCATCATTCAATACAAATGTGCGAAGACACACACATGATGTACGCATCATACAATACAAATGTGTGAAAACACACTCATGATGTACGCATCATACAATACAAATGTGCGAAGACACACTCGTGATGTACGCATCATACAATACAAATGTGCGAAGACACACACATGATGTACGCATCATACAATACAAATGTGTAAAGACACACTAATGATGTACGCATCATACAATACAAATGTGCGAAGACACACACATGATGTACGCAACATACAATACAAATGTGCGAAGACACACACATGATGTACGCATCATACAATACAAATGTGCGAAGACACACACATGATGTACGCATCATACAATACAAATGTGCGAAGACACACACATGATGTACGCATCATACAATACAAATGTGTAAAGACACACTAATGATGTACGCATCATTCAATACAAATGTGCGAAGACACACACATGATGTACGCATCATACAATACAAATGTGTGAAAACACACTCATGATGTACGCATCATACAATACAAATGTGCGAAGACACACTCGTGATGTACGCATCATACAATACAAATGTGCGAAGACACACTCATGATGTACGCATCATACAATACAAATGTGTGAAAACACACTCATGATGTACGCATCATACAATACAAATGTGCGAAGACACACTCGTGATGTACGCATCATACAATACAAATGTGCGAAGACACACACATGATGTACGCATCATACAATACAAATGTGCGAAGACACTAATGATGTAAGCATCATACAATACAAATGTGTGAAGACACACTCATGATGTACGCATCATACAATGCAAATGTGTGAAGACACACACATGATGTACGCATCATACAATGCAAATGTGCGAAGACACACTCATGATGTACGCATCATACTGTAGGAAATTGGATTTATACGTGTTTTTCTTATGCAAATGACTTTGTATAATTTGCATAAAACTGCCGTTTAAAAATACGGTGAATGAATGTAGTTCCTCGATTTATAAGTTTGTTTTGGTATCTTGAGGAAGAATTGTTATATTGTGAGTCTATGTAAAAAAGGAATAAGATTGCATATAATGTGTAATAACTTAATTTTACTTCATTCAAAAGGTGTTTGTACAAGAATAGCAAAAAGAGGAAGGATATTTTGTTTATAGAATTGTGATAGGTCTTTATATGTGGGCGCGGGAATCTGCCTGACATAGCAGATACGTAGGCACACATTGCATCTTGTCATGGGCGAAGGAGGTTGTGCGTGTGTCGGGCCGTCTATAAGTGTGCAACGCCCTTGTTACGTTTTTACACCTTTGAAAGAAACGACATGCTAGCGAGGTTTGCTGGAAGCTGTAGTGTGGTCTAGCTGGGACTGCGTTGTATTTTGGGAGCCGGGAGCTGCTCCGGCTTGTTGCTTCAGAGACCTTGGGTAGGATATGATTTAATACACACATTGTTTAATTGGTATAATGTTGTTTATTAATGCATTTTGAATATGTACTTTCATATAATATGTGTTAATTAAAGACAATGATATTGTCTTAATTATTATATTATCATTGATGTAGAATACATTAATGCCACAGTTTATGTAATGTAAACCAACAGCGTGATAATTTACTGTCTGTTTATCTCGCCCACATTGTTGTATACTATGTATCAGATATATGTTGATAAGAATCTATACTTGTCTTGTATTTATGTTTGGCACATCTGATTGATTTGCAGGGTTTTCTTTATGCGATGATGCTGCCTTATCCGTATTACGACAATACAATACAAATGTGCGAAGACACACACATGATGTACGCATCATACAATACAAATGTGTAAAAACACACTCATGATGTAAGCATCATACAATACAAATGTGCGAAGACACACTCATGATGTACGCATCATACAATACAAATGTGCGAAGACACACTCATGATGTACGCATCATACAATACAAATGTGTGAAGACACACTCGTGATGTACGCATCATACAAGTTGGAGTGATCATGTTTATATTATATATCATATGTTATATTTGAATTTGGATCTGAATTAATTAGTTTCTATATTATTATTATCCATCCATGGAATCCTCAGCAGTCTTTTGAGAAACCATACTTTACAACAATCTAAACGTTTTCTGATTACTGTTTTAGGAAACGACCTAGCTCTTCCATCGCCAACAATTGGATTTTATTCTGTCGAATCAACATCATAATCTTGTACAGAATCAGATATTCTGCAGTAATTTTCTCTCATTCCATTATCATTTGTATGGTAAGAAACCAAAGTCTGTCACAATGTATTTTTATGACGATCCTTCAAAAAATCCCTTTCTCCCTAAAACACGAGTGTGTAGCATTTCAAAATTCACACACACACATACACACATTTGAGCATATGGGACTACATACTCGTACTAAAGGGACCCACTTTCATCAGCCCACTTGACGTTGCATTATCAGCTTTATTTTTTGATGGATCGTCATAAAAAATACATGGTTACAAACTTTGGTTTCTTACCGTACAAATGATACTGGAATGAAAGAAAATCACTGCAGAACAACGGATCCTGTAAAAGATTACTATGTTTATTCGACAGGATAAAAATCCCGTTGTTGGCAATGTAACAGCTGATCGCGGCAAAGGTGACAATCTACTTCCGTACTAGAAATATGTCACGGCATTCTGCGATGAAACAACCGTGAATGCATGTATAGTTCAGATCATATTTATCTTGTCATTCTCAAGCTGTTTGTATACAGTTGTAAGTCATACTTACCAATAAAACATTTATTGTTGCCAAATTTCTTTTGCTTATGTTTCGTTGTGTTCATGGCTTTGCTCCACAGTACAATATTTCTTTGATTAATCATTACACACCTGCCAGATCTTTATGTCCTCAAAACTCTGGATTGCTCATTCTTCCAAAACTGTGTAAACTGATGAATACAGGGGAACAAATGGACTTGATTAACGGTAGTCGGCGAATTAATTTTTTTAAAGCCTGTAATTGTTAATCAGATCAGAGATATTCCTACATTAGAATCTTTGAGCATTTAATTTGTAAGTGGATTTGGCGCCTTATAAATTCTATTTATATTTATATGATAGGTTATTTTCCATGTTCATGTATATCTCTGATATACATGCATAACTGGCTGTACAAATGAATAAAGTGAAAGATGCAATGTTGTAGTTTCTTATATTTAATTACCATATAAAAGGCATAATACAAGGTACTATATACATAATTTACATTTCATAAATGACATAGGAGCAACAGCTATCTGTTACAATTTTGGTATACTACACTGCCAAGAACATATTTTCCTCGTCTCTAATTTTTTTTTTTTTTTAACTGTGCAATGATTTCATTATTATTGAACTAGCATATTCTTGATAAATATGATAATGCAAAAATTGAAGATCTACAATACAATCCTACAAACAAACAAATTGCCAAATGTGAAGAATTAGAAATAATTAGTCTTATATATTATTGTATCATTTGAACTAGAACTAGCTACTAGTTAACAATTTGCTCCCCCCCCCCCCAAAAAAAAAAATGTATGACGGAGAATGGGTTTTTGCTGAATAATTAGCCATAGAAACATAATATTTTGTGAGTTGTGAGGCCTTATGAAAAAAGGTCCCATGCGCTTATATGGGTACCTATTAAACAGTTGTATATTTTTGTTGCTGGAGGGGGTGGGGGTAAATTTTTAACTACTTTAGTAGCTAGTTTTAGTTTAGAGGAGGCGAGTTGGCTCAGTCGGTAGAGCGTCCGCCTGTCGAACCAAAGATCCCGGGTTCGACTCCCACCCAGACGGATGACTGAAGCCTGTGTTGTGTGTTAACGTGTCCCTTCCCTTGTTCATAGACGCAAGCTATGTTAAATGTTAAGTGAAAAACACCTCGGATAGGATAGTCACTACCTTTGCACGTTAAGAACCCACTGCACTATTCGTATAAGAGTAGGGGGAAACCCCGGTGTACATGGTCAACCTGCACACACCCCCAGTATAGTATGATAATACTCTGTAAAGAGGTGTGTACTAAAAAAGGAAGGAGATGATAAAATAATTGATAAGAGCTGTAACATTTGTACCATTCATCAGCAATGCTGACAATTCATAAAAGTTTCTCTCGGAATGGAGTTCCACTTCAAGAGCGTAGTTTATGCAGAATATGAGAAAAGCATTCACAAGTACTGAAAAGGTTATATTGTAAGTTAGCTAAAAGGTATAACAATTTTCGCTATTCAAGTTAATTCATGATGCTATGGTTTATGACTTTACATATTGAAGTAAAATCCAGTGTCGAATGGGGGGGGGGGGGGGGGGGCTTCCTATGTTATTAGAGAGACAAAAGATTCACATTTGAATCGGTATTGTGACAATTAAACAGCTTTTATATGGTTTAAAGGGCACTGATCAGCAACAACAAAAAGCCCTTTTGACTCTCGGCAGAAAATATAAACTTTTTACTTGTCATGAGTGTCAATCGGCACAGTCACTCATTTGCCACACACGCAGTTCCGCACAAAACAATGCGGACCAAATGACAGAAGGATTACTTTGTGCAAGACAATTTTCTACTCTCGATTAGCTCAACGATACCCATTTAACAACTATATAGATAAGTATTACACCGAAAACATTTAGATAATCTTGGAAGCATTTGGTATTCCCAGACATGCCAACCTTTACATTCAGCTTTCAGGGAGGATTCATTCAGAAATCAGGGAGGTTTCTATCGATTGCATACAGCATAAGAGGAATAATCTTTCAAAAAATCAGGCAGGCATTAAAATTTGTGTGGAGTGACGTATCAACAACAAAATAATCTGAAAATCAGTGTGACATTCAAAGAGATAAATAAATCAATACACATTCTAAATGCAGAGTCTTATTTATCTTCAAGCCTAGGGTGCAGTCGTCATGTTTTGGGGCGGTATGGGAGTGGTAATCTTGCTTGTGAGTGGTAGCTCTGCTATAAAGGATTTTGAAGATTAGAAAGAGTCCAGTTCAGAATTCCATCTGCTGATCTGCATGTGATTGAAAAAAAGAAAAAAATGAAATTCAATAATCTAGGTTGTCAAAATGCCTCTATTCACATGACCAAAAGAATGACCTTGAAAGTTGCTGCCATTACACATGCTCACAAGGTCGTTGTTGGTAATAGTTTAATGGCAATCATTCAGTATTAAATATATACGCCATATCTTCAGTTTTATAAGAAAATCAGTTATCCATAAAGAAAACTGAGAATAAAATTTTGCAATGATATAATTAATTAATCAATAACGCAATTTATGAGGAGTCTCTGAATGGTATGTAACTTTGTATTTCTGCTCACAAGGGGATAATTATACCTTTCAGGACAGGATTTTTTTTCTTCTATAGTCCTGGATTGATACACATATTATTCATCAAATTGGCAACAATTTTTTTTAATTTTTATATATATCATTTCTCTTGATATTTGGTCTGTTTTCAGATAAGATATGGCTATCAAGTTCATACGAAAAGATCAATTTTTTGCCCATAAATATGACTTAGTGCATATATCATGAAGATTATCTTTTCAGATTTGAATGTCTGTCTTACAATTTGAAAAAGTTGCACATTTTATGAGGATCTTAAGACATTATTTCCAGAAAATCTCCTTGGATTCCATCTAAATTGCAGATCACTGATTCACTGGTACAGTACACTCACCACTTTGCTCCAGTAATTTTCCCTTCCACGTCTTTTCCAGGGATACAACAAACTTCTCAAAGACCTCAACGTTTTTCAGGAGGCTCGTCTTCTTGTAGTCTGCAATAAGCCATCATGAATTAAATAATGAAAATATAGGTACCGGTAAATTAAAAAGGAAGTGCCCATCCATAGATGACAAAAACATGTCCACCTCCATGTGTAGACACAGTTTAGGGAGGGGACTCAACACTTTTACATGTATTTCACTTTAGTTTTTTTCTTCATATTTGACATCATTTCATGAAATGAAATCTTACTGGTACTTAAAGAGAAGGTTGAGTTCTGGGAAGAGGTGAAAAATAATTTGTGAGCGTTATCATTGTTATTATGGAAGTGTGAAAGAACATCAGATGAAAAATGTTTCCTGAAAAGCATGGCTCTTCAAATGCCTTAATACCGGGTATTCTAAATATGGCATGTAACATCATAAAATTTGGGACAGATTTTTATGCCACATGTTCGTGTAGTCCCATATACATCTTTCTGTGTAGAGTGCTTGTAACTTTACCAAGACTGGGCCAAATTTATTATAATTTTGATGATTCCAGAACCTATACTAGATGATCAACCTCTTCTGATCAATTCCACAACATTCCTTTCACAATGCAATGGCATGACCAGAACTCAACTTTATCTTTAATAATGTCGGAAACAAACACAAAAGATTGTATCATACATCAAATGATAATAAAAAAAAGAGGGGACAAAATTATCATATAGAGAATTATCCATTACTCTAGCAACCCAAATGAAATTGGAGGTGAAATATAAAGGAATCTAGTGAAAAGCAGGGATTGTTTAACTAGATTCCTCTGAATAGGTAGAAATAGAATGTACACTTTCAATTCGAAAAAATCGAAGTAAATTTTCATCCACAGTTTAAAAAAAATTATATTAATTTCACAATTCAATTTTCTCTCTATGATCAGTAAAATTATATTGTATAGTACGATTATAAACTGATGATGGGGAAAACAAAAATCCAATTTTTTTTTTTAAAGGAGACATCCAGAGAACTCACCTTTTATTCTCTTCTTTGTTGGAGGCTGATTTTCATCGTTCTCTGTTGGTTGGTTCTTACGATCGTACTCGTCAATTTCAAGGCACAGTTGGCTAGTAAAAATCACATAGAAACAACATGAATGTTAAGCAATGCATCTTTTATAGCTTGCGAGAAGATTATCTACTTTTTCAGTGGTAAGAAGAAGGGAACATCAAATTTGTCCTAAAAAGCATGATAAATGAACTTCTATGGACTGCTTTTTCCAACAATAAACCACTGGCTATTAAAACTAGATAAAACCTTGTTCATACTATTATTACTATTACTACTGCTACTGCTAGTTCTACTATTGCTTACATATTACATGGAAACATAATAATACTACAGCATCTTGGAAATTCAATTACACTTTTTTCCTTTACGAATTACAAACTTCTCACTTTTTTCCCAATTTCTGACATTCCTATTACTGATATCTACATTTCAACATTGATAAAAGCAATTAATCACAAGTTCACAAATGATACTATTACTGAGATATTCACTATGAAGCAAGTCACCCAGAACAACAAAAAATATCCATTTTCTCCATACCTGATATCAGGCACGGCCAACGGGTCAAATCGATCGAGCTCGGCCGTATCCATGGCAACACAGACACGCCCAGTTTTAGGATGGACACAGAAGGGGCTCTTGAGCAGATGGTTGACGCCCTTACTCACGTTAACGTCCAGTCTGGGGTAGCAGTACTGGAAGGCAATCTCCGCTACCAGCTGACCGCATCGCTTGGCCCGACCCTGAGAGACAGAGATGACAGAAAAACATTGAGCATCATTCTGTATTCATTTCAAGGATGAAATCTTAATCAATTGCTTCTGATTTTTATTTAAACTTCACAGTTCAACCATTCAGTAGGTGATCCACAAAGTCATTGCAGGAGATTTCGCAAGGTTGCCCAACACATTTACTTTTCTCAAGACCTATTTACTGGTATTGTGACACAAAAAAAACAAAAACAAAAACAAACAAAAAACAACATCACTGTAGCACTCTCGTCTTTCTCTTAAACCTTGTGGTAGAATTCAGAATTTGTTATTATCTATAGTAAAACCTTAGAAAAAATATGTGTTAAATGTCTGACTTGGGGTGTATCACTGTAATGGCTCTAAAGTGGAAGAAAGGATGCTTGACAGTCTCCAAGTGTTGTTGTTACAACAAAGAAAAAGAAATCTGGTAGTTGGATAGAGTCATTATTGATAAAGTAGTGAAGAAAGTGTTGAAGACAACAATCTGATATTGTGGTAACTTACCACCGAGACTTCTCTGCTGACCCGCTCTCTAAGGAGCTTCCACCTCTCCAAGGAGTTTGACCCCTTTGTCATATCATTCTCTAGATGACCTCTAAGAGGTACAGAGGGCAAAGGTCAAGGAAATTGTAATTATTCAACACGTAATAATGATGATGATAATAATAACTCTGTACTTGTAAGGCACACAAATCTGCCTGAAAGAAGATGGCATATAGTGACTTATTAGAAGAGCTAGTAAGAAGAATTCTAAATATATTATGTCTAATCCTCTGTGGTAATTTTTCTCACAATTATATGTCGAGTAAAACCTTTTATAATGACCACTGAAGAGAGGCAGGAAAAGCATGGGGAGGTGGTCTTACTACAGGGATGTTTTATTACATATTTTCAATGAGGAAAACTTTTCAAAGAGACAAAAATGTGGTCATCTATAGACAGGTGCTTACAGACAACACAAAGTCCTCTTGACAGTTTCACAGGTGTAAGGACTGATTAAGATTCCTGTCACATACCAGTACACCAGACGAAACAAAATGTCCAGTTTTATCACAATTACTATGGCTATTGATATCATATGACTCCAAACTACATGGTTGCTTGAAATTAACACCAATTCACACCAAAGTCTATGGGATAATACATGCAGTCACGAGTGGCACAGTGTGAGAGTGTCTACTTTACTTAAAGCAATACTGTACCTTCCATTAATCTGATCAGTAGGTGGCCAACATTTGTATTTTTTTTAAAGAGATGGGGTTAGGGCTACAGGTAGAATTGGGCTTTTGATTAAGTTTAGGGTGAGGTTCAGGTTTAGGGTGAGGTTCAGGTATAGTGTTTGGTCCAGGGTGGACATTACTCAGGAATATGAGCAATAGTTCACATAGGAAGTGTCATAGAAACCTATTTGACAGCCATAGTTTGTATTTTTAAAGGATATTATCATCTGGAACGAGGGCTAGAACTTTCTTCCATGACTCCTTGTCGCCGAGGATATCCTGTTTATTGAGAGCGTAGTCCTCAAAGTAGCTAACAATCACCTGTTTAGCCCTCCTGCGAACAAATCAAAATAAATCATGATTAAAACAATTCTAGTATCAAGTGTCATTGAGTGGTATACAAGAAGCGAATATTATCATCATCATTGTTGTGTCGTCATTACATAATAATAATAGTTCATCCTTATAGCGCATTTCGGGACCGCAGGCCCTCTCAATGCGCTTTACAGATATATATTATTACCCCGGTCATCGGATTCATGCTTACCCGCACACAAGGCACATGTATGCACATTTCTTCACTACCTGGGGAGCATTCCAGCCAGTCGCCATTTTACAGCGCCATTGCTAATCAAACCACATTAGCTTTCGCATCCTACCGGGTACCCATTTAACACCTGGGTGGAGAGTGGCAAATTACTGCTGCAGTCATCATCATCATCATCCACATGTTCCACAAACCATTGAAAGCAAAGGACATTAGAAACTCACTCTACTGATGGATGTAGCTGGTCTGGTAGGCTTACTTTCTTGACCTGATTTTCTCCTCCCTGAGCAAATGAAAAGGAAAAAAAAGTACAATGTTGATTACTTCTTCAGCGTTCAACAATAAATACAGGGAAAATAGCTCAGCCTTCAATCCATCCAAATTCCGTTCATAACTGTGCTCTTGGGGCCTTTTCACATATGCCACATCACATGGGAAACTGCGGCAGTTTTTTGTGTACTAAGACATCATACATACATGTTGTGTATACATGGGATACCAGCTGGTTTCACCCAATTGACCTGATAAGAGACTCCACTATGCAATAGTCCCATATGTGGTTTATAATTTATAACCTGAAACATACTGAAATGGGAATGTGTCAGGGACTGAAATCAGGGCCCTGTCTTGCAAAGAGTTGATTTTAATCGCAACTTATCAATCGCAACTATGTACATAAGAGATAGGAGATTGCAAACTTGCGATTGATTTGGATCAATCGCAGCTCTTTGTAAGACAGGGCCAAGGCTATGTCCGAACAACAGCATCCCAGTTATAACTATATAATAATCCTTTAAAAATTTTGCTGTGAAAAAGAAAATAGTTACAGCCATTCTTATGCTATGGTCACATTACCCAAAAGTAGTCTGCTTGGCGGCCGAGCGGCGAGTTTTTAACCAATTCTGCCCGGCGGCTGCCCGGCCACCGAGCGGCGGCCGCCCAGGCACCACTCGTTTTTAGGGCATTGCTCGGTCACCGCTGAAGTTTTAGCCGGAGTTAAAATTTGGGCGGCGCCTGCTCACTTTTCACTTACCGCCCAAAATACGCTCGGTAACTGGGCGGTCGCCGCCCGGGCACCGACCTAATCGCTGGGCGATGCCTAAATCCAGCAGCGACCGAGCAGGCTACTGATCGCTGCTCTGATTTGTGACCATAGCTTAAGGAAGCGTTACCTTGACGATGCTGAGGTATTCTGCAATTGCTGACCGAGCATTCTGAGATAGCTTTCTAGCAGCCTCGTCGCACACCCAACAATGAACACCACGGCGACCGGAGTACACCCACAACCGATGCTCAAAGCCAAAGTCTTCTGCAGAAATAATGGATGTAATTTGTTTGTTTAACTAACTTTGTCATTTGTAAAGTCTTTTGGAAGGGAGTTGGTTCGCTGATAGATGATGAGATTCACCAAAGATGTTTTAAAGTGGAATTGACAGAACATCAAGAAGCATACAAAATATATGGCATGTCTGACCATGACTTCAGTACATTGCCAGGTTTGTCTTTGTAATCACAAGCATACTCTATTTTTAGAATTCAGAATGTTGATATATAGGGGCAAAAGATGACAGCCCACCTGCAAAATTTGAGCATGAACAGCCTTGTTTGTAACCATCATAGATCTAATGTTCATCTCAATATCAAAATTATATTCTTGCCTGTTGCTAAATTTTATGAAATAGACATGTAGCTCTACTTTCATGGATAGGAAATATTTATACAAATCTCACCGTAGAGGGCACTGTCCACAATCTTGATTGCTATCGTCATCAGAGGCCAGCATTTGGAGCATATGTCTGCACCCCTGTAATGGGAAGACAATCAAATTCAACTCGAGATGAAACACATATATGGTTAGGATACTCTTCCGATACATTTTATGATATCTATGTGACTGCGTCTCCAATATGCCTCCACCTACATGTAAGTACAGTTAAATTTAAGGCTTGAATTGTTCTTGGAATATCATGCCGAGAACAAAAAGTCTATACTTACAAATGCACATGTCAACTGATCTGTACAACATTTGACCGGACGATCCCAATATGTGATCACTTGTCTCCCTACGATACGGTACGCTAGTTCATTTGACACATTTGGCACGTTTGGCGGGAGGTTTTTTCATGAACCGGGAGATTGTGGGAGAGTAGGAGGAAGGGCGTGGTGGCGGGAGTCTCCCGCTACGAAGCTGATGGGACGGCGGGAGAATGAGCATGGTGGCGTGAGACCCCCTCCAAACGCGGTAGGGTTGACAGCCCTGCTCTTAGAATGTGTAATTTGATGGGAGAGAGGTAGGGGGCAGCGGGGGGCCCGGGGCACAAACCCTCATGCCCCTCAATGCTTAACCATTGGTGTACAAGGTAACATTCACTTACTGGCAACAACTTCTGACATCATCGTAATCTGTCATATCTATATCAAAGACCAGTTCTTTCTCTTGAGCTTGGAATGCGGCGGCCTTTAATGTCCGATGATCTTTGGGCTGAAAAGAGGAAGAATTCAAAAGTCAACGGTGACTTGCCTGTCGTTCAATTAAAAATTATATTTGCTATTTAATAGTGAAAACAAAAACATGCAGCAGGGATAGTTTAATCTATAGTCTATAAAAAGCCCCCCCCCCCCCAAAAAAAAAGGCTAAAAAAGAAGTAAAATCACTGAACAGAAATCTAACTTTTACTTTAGAAGATTAAAAAAGATCTTCTGTAACCTCTATCCTTCTCTCCCCCCCCCCCCTTTTCTGGAATTTTGTTAAAATATTACCAGGCAAACATTATCTTCTTTTTTTTGGGGGGGGGGGTAGCAAGGTGCCCTTTATATATATATCAATTTGTGATCTCTGATGAAGAAATAACATAAAATTATAAATTGTCTTTTTTTCTTCACAATTTTAGAAATTAGAAACTGGGAATTTTTTAGTCTGACAAGAGGCCTCCTTTACACTTGTGAGGGTGTGCATGTAGGCATGTTATTCCAATGGCAATGGCTCAATCCTTACCTTATGTGTGAACACTGCTCCGATATCAATCTTGTATGGACATCTCTTCTGTATCTCTTTCTCCATTTCATTCTGGTCACTAAACGATTGGTATCGGATGTAGATGTCATTCTCAAGCGTGAAGGAAAACTCACGATTCAAGAAGTAACTCTTTGGAGCTGCAAGAATAAATATCAATGAGAATAATGAAGACAGGAAGTGAAAGTTTAAAAAAGCAAAAGGCAAAACACAAAGACAAACACACAAAAAAACATTACCTATAAAAATAATGCAATATAAATTTCTGATCAGCATGATCAGTAGGCTACTGTAGTACATAGGTCTATATAGGTCTATTTAGCGCTAGAGCCTAGAGGTTAATATTATTGACTCTATGCTTTGCTAGAGTGCTACCTTGTTTGGCATTCAACAATAAGGGATAGATCTATCTAGGTCTCGATCTGGTCTAGAGCAACGTAGATCTGGCGCTGCTCAGTGGCTGCTGAGCTCACGATCAATTGGGCAAAAAGAATTTCCATTTTCGGTTTAACTTAATAAAATTTGGAGTGGACTCTAAAAGATTATTATTATTATTAAATCAGTTGACTGTCTACAAATTAATATTGTGTGCAAAGTCTTAAATTCATGAACTAGGTCTAGGATCTAGATCTAGACCTAGATCTACGTCTAAACATATTATTAAATTTAGACTAGATATCTACATGTAATAATAATAGTGTAAACTAATGAAAATACCCTCTCACCAATCTCTAAAAATACCAATCATCCAAAACCACGGCCAAACTCAAATCAATCCTCTCTCCTGAGATCTCCAACACTATTTTACTAACACAAATTTTAATAGATGGGAAAATGCGATTCACGAACTTACCTCCCCCATAATTAAGCCATCTGTAGTATGGTCCAAACGGAAATAACCTTTTATAGTAAACTGGTAGCAATTCTGGCAGTGTGTCTGGAGAATAATTTGATTTCACAGGCGTCTCATTGCTTTCCGAAGGCATCTTTTTGATATTTATTTCACCTCTTCTTGAAAATTAATTGTTTGATCGGGCGCGGGAAAAAACTACAATGATATTTCCGTTGATGGCGTTATCACTAAAAGCTTGTCGGTTGATCGAGTGCGCTCAGCAGAACCGGGTGCAAGGAGTTCCTCCCATCTCCCTACTCTGACTGTTCATAGGCGGATCCAGCAAACAGAGGAGGAGGGGGGGGGGGGGGACCGGGGGGGAGGGGGGAGGGGGAGGGGGGAGGCACAGGGGAGTCACAGGAGTCACAAATTCAGGACTCTCATTTCACCCTTCTTATTTCCTTTTACATGTCAGAGGTTTTATGGTTTAAATTAAAAACTTAATTAAGACCTTTTTCATTTTTTCCCTTTTTTGACAGGTTCAGGACTCTCTTTTCCCCCTTCTTATTTTTTATTTTTTGCATGTCGGAGGTTATATGGTTTAATTTTAAAAATTAATTGAGACCTTTTTCCTTTTTTCCCTTTTTGGGGGTTTTCTTCTCCTTTGGTCCATTAATCGGCTTACCCCCATTTTCAATACTACTTGCTTCAGTTAAATAACTTAATTTATTTAGTTGTTTTGCTGCGTATTATTATATCAAAACTATTATGGTTTGCCATTAGAAATTGCACCTAGTTCCTTTTATGCCTACACCCATATTTGTTTTGTTCCAGTCACTTTATTATGTAATATAATACTTTACTCAACTCCCCGGACGTCTAGTTAAACATCAAATATTTCATTGTTATACATTTCTATTATTGTTTGTGTACGTATATGTTTAGTGATTTTTATGATTATAGGCCCCATATTATTTCATATTTTTGTTCTGAAAAAATATTTCACATTTCGACCTTTGGCCGAAAAAAAAGAAAATTTTCTTTAATTTCATTAATGAAAATCAGTACCCCTTAATTTCCTTGACAGGGCGTGATGTATTTTTTTAAATTGAAATTGAAATGTTTAAAAAAAAAAAACATCATGCCCCGTGTTGGAAAATCAAGGATATTCTACGTTCAGATGAAATTAAAGATCACAATTTTTGTAGCAATTTCCTAAATATTGGGGGGGGGCAGTTGACTTGAACACTTTACATGCAGGGAGAGTAGCTTAGACCCTATTGTTAGCACGGAAGTTTGCATTTTCTAGCTCTTGTAAAGAGACAATAGAACCTCTGATAATATACTATATACTGTACTTCACGATTTTACAGAATTTCTACAAAAATTTCCAAGGGGGAATACGGTATACCGTATAACCGTGTTAGAAAAGTTTTACATTTTGACTTGAGGAACTGTGCATTCTACTTCAGATCCCAAACAGTGTGCTATATCCTTAGTATTTGCTATGCCTTTTTCTTTTTCATTTTTCTTTTAAATATCTGGGGAATATTCACCGTTGAAAAATTCCCTGATGGAGAAGAGCGAGCGCTTGGCCACGGGCTCGCTGACCCTGCTAAAAAAGCTCTGTCTGAAATAAAAGAAATATTTGGTTGAAGTACAGCAGGCGCGGATCCAGGATTTTCCAATAGGGGGGGGGGGGGGGCCGGAAATTTGAAAATTGCGCAGACCTTTTTTTTAAAAACTCAACATATCAATACTTACAAGGTCATATTAGAAGCACCATACCGGTACAATTTTTGTCATTTCAATTGGGGGGGGGGGGGCTATAACCTCTTGCCCGAAAAAGTAATTTTCTGGTTTCACAATTCGGCTAGTGAGCGAAGCGATCGAGCAAAAATTTGAGCATAATATGTACATGTATATTACGAAAGTGTTATTTATCACGAAAATAAACGAGAAAAGATATCAAAAATTCATATTCGGGCAGCTCGCTGTCCCCCCCCCCCCCATTACGCGCGAAGCGCAGAAGCTGTGATGTTTCATGAACTTATTAGAGGAGAGGATTCGTTGAACCATTCTCGACTCTAAATCATTGTTTGAATTTATTTCGTTCCCCCCCCCCCCCCCTCTCGCGCGAAGCGCGGAAACTTTGACCTTTCATAGTTTAATAAAATTATTAGAGAAAGAATTAGAAGATTCGTTGTTCCATTCTCGACTCTAACTCCTTGTTTGAATTTAGTTCGTCCCCCCCCCCTCTCGCGCAAAGCGCGGAAGCTATGACCTTTCATTAATTATTAGAGAAAGAAGAAGATTTGTTGTACCATTCTCGACTCTTATTCTTTGTCTGAATTCAGTTCCCCTCCCCTCTCGCGCGAAGCGCGGAAACTTTGACCTTTCATAGTTTAATAAAATTATCAGAGAAAGAATTAGAAGATTCGTTGTTCCATTCTCGACTCTAACTCCTTGTTTGAATTTAGTTCGTCCCCCCCCCCCTCTCGCGCAAAGCGCGGAAGCTATGACCTTTCATTTATTATTAGAGAAAGAAGAAGATTCGTTGAACCATTCTCGACTCTAAATCATTGTTTGAATTTAGTTCGTCCCCCCCCCCTTTCGCGCGAAGCGCGGAAACTTGACCTTTCATAGTTTAATGAAATTATTAGAGAAAGAATTAGAAGATTCGTTGTTCCATTCTCGACTCTAACTCCTTGTTTGAATTTAGTTCGTCCCCCCCCCTCTCGCGCAAAGCGCGGAAGCTATGACCTTTCATTAATTATTAGAGAAAGAAGAAGATTTGTTGTACCATTCTCGACTCTTATATATTCTTTGTCTGAATTCAGTTCCCCTCCCCTCTCGCGCGAAGCGCGGAAACTTTTACCTTTCATAGTTTAATAAAATTATCAGAGAAAGAATTAGAAGATTCGTTGTTCCATTCTCGACTCTAACTCCTTGTTTGAATGTAGTTCGTCCCCCCCCCCCTCTCGCGCAAAGCGCGGAAGCTTTGACCTTTCATTAATTATTAGAGAAAGAAGAAGATTTGTTGTACCATTCTCGACTCTTATTCTTTTTCTGAATTCAGTTCCCCTCCCCTCCATGCGAAGCGCGGAAACTTTGACCTTCCATAGTATTGAAATTATTAGAGAAAGAATTAGAAGATTCGTTGTTCCATTCTCGACTCTAAATCCTTGTTTGAATTTAGTTCGTCACCCCCCCCCCCCTCTCGCGCGAAGCGCGGAAGCTATGACCTTTCATTAATTATAAGAGAAAGAAGAAGATTTGTTGTACCATTCTCGACTCTTATTCTTTGTCTGAATTCAGTTCCCCTCCCCCTCCGTGCGAAGCGCGGAAGCTTTGACCTTTCATTAATTATTAGGGAAAGAAGAAGATTTGTTGTACCATTTCGACTCTTATTCCTTGTCTGAAGTCAGTTCCCCTCCCTTCCCGCGCGAAGCACGGAAACTTTGACCTTTCATAGTTTAATGAAATTATTAGAGAAAGAATTAGAAGATTCGTTTGTTCCATTCTCGACTCTTAATCTTTCTCTGAACTTAAAGCGCAGAAGCTTAACGTTTTATTAAATCATTAGAAAAAGAAGACGATTTTTTGTACCATTCTCGACTCTTGATCATTATTTGGATTTAGTTTACCCCTCCCGCGCGAAGCGCGGAAGCTTTGACGTTTCATTAAATTATGTATAGAGAAAGAAGATGATTCGTTGTACCGTTCTAGACTCTTAGTACTTGTCTGAATTGAGTCCCCCCCCCCCTCCCGCGCGAAGCGCGTAAGCTTTGACGCTTCATTACATTATTAGAGAGAGAAGACGATTCGTTGTACCATCCTCGTCTCTTAATCTTTGTTTGAATTCAGTTTCCCTCTCTCCCACGCGAAGCGCGGAAGCTTTGACGTTTCATTAAATTATTAGAGAAAAGTATAATTCGTTGTTCCATTCTCGACTCTAAAATCTTGTTTTAATACAGTTTCCCCCCTCCTGCGCGAAGCGCGGAAGCTTTGACATTTCATTACATTATTAGAGAAAGAAGATAATTCGTTGTTCCATTCTCGACTCTATATCGTTGTTTGAATTTAGTTTTTCCCCGCTCGCGCGTAGCGCGGAAGCTTTGACATTTCATTAAATTATTAGAGAAAGGAGACGATTCGTTGTACCGTTCTCGACTTGTCAGAATTTCAAAAATATTTCCTTGCCTGCTCCTTTTTCGTCTTATGTCCTCTCACTGCCCCTACCGCCCCTGGCTACGCGCCTGCTTTACAGGGAAAATGAAACAATCATGATTGTGATAGCACACAATTAGACTAGTAGAAATGAAAGATTTATTACACCAACCATGGATAAATCCATGGTTTTACCAACATGAGTTCAAATACAAGCACAAGCGAGTTGGTATGAGCTTAATCCAAATGAAGGGCAAAATAAGAGTTGTGAAGCGGCCCTACCGCTAATTTAAAATTTGACTGTTGAGTATATTTCTCTATTTAAAAGACATCCAAAATAGTGTGCCCTTTTTAAATTTCTCACTAAAGAGTGGTGACCTTTGTAGCGCAGGGGCTGTTTTTAACGTTTAAACTTTGAATCCGCGGCTCGAGATTTTATGCGGCCGGCCCGGCCCCCTCTATTCAATGACGTTTGCCAAGCCTACTGGAATGACCCCCAAATCTCCCGATTACAGTTTTTCCCTTATTCGTTGTTACTGTCACTAAACGCCATTTCCTCCTCCCCCCCCCCCCCCCCCCCCCCCACTCACTCAGTGTTATCTAGGGTACGCGCAATTATGTTCCCTCTCTTTGAAAGCACCCTCTATCTCTGGTGTGTAAAGTCAGTACGGGCCGGACTTTGTTGCGTGAAAAGTAACCCTTTTTTTGGAGATTTTGGAAACACAAATTGGGGGGGGGGGGGGGGGGACTTTCTTCGTTATCATTTCTCCTTTTTTTTTTCTCTCTCTCTCTCTCTGTTTCTTTTCTCTTCTTTCTTTTCTCTTCTCTTTTCTTTTCTCTTCTCTTTTCTTTTCTCCTTTTTTTCTTTCTCTTCTCCTTTCCTTTTTTCCTCTTCTTTTTCCTCTTTTTTTTTTTTTGTTTTGCGCCGCCAATAGGGGGGGCCGCGGCCGTTTCGGCCCCCCTCTGGATCCGCCACTGGTACAGCACATGTGACTGTCCTGGACTTCATTGACTTAGAACACTCTTGTGTAATAGTTTCTGAAGTGGTCTGAAAC